AGTGTGGGCACAACCCGCGCACAATATAGAATGGCCGAGATGCTGGGAGGGGTGGCCCCGTAGCCGACGACTTGAGCCCGAGCGCGCACTTTGGCAACAGGGTCACGCCATTGGCGGTCAACCGCCACGGCAGGGCCCGGCCACAGGCCTAAGTTCTGGAGCTCAGCAACGACTCCGAACTTGGCCCACGGGGGGATCCACTTGCGTAGTTGAACGGCAACCTCGGCCGCAAGCTCCACCGAGAAGGGCCCAGGTAGGGGAGCCAGGAGGCACTTGGGGACTATGAGGTACAGGTTGGCCAGCAAGGCCGCCGCGTTCATCGCGCGGTGCACCAGAGCCAGATCCCTCGCGGACCACAACGCGCCACCGATATCTTCGGCACAGGCCCGAACAAGGCCGCGCCCATCCCCTTCCAGATCGCGCGCGGGGTCTATTTAGAAGACCGCCGTCGATAGGGCAAACAACGATCCCGAGAGAGCACACCCTTGAATGATGCCACTGCGCAGCCAGAAGATCCACGCGAAGTGCCCGAGCGACGAGGCCACCCCCTCCACCGCAGAGTAGAGGAAGAAGACGAAAGCGAGGAAGAACCCAGGGAGGACCAGGGACTGAAGGATGCACTCCAAAAGCTGCTGATTCAACGACGGGATGGCCTGGCCGAAGTCGAGCGAGCACAGAGCGGGAATGTCGAGGGACTGCGGGTGCAGGAGCGACAACTCATGAGCATGCGAGTCAAGTTCCAGGATGTTGATCCCGCAGCTTCGGCCGCGCACGAAGCCGCGCTGGCGCGGGGGGGCAGCTCGCTGAACTGCAACTTGGACGGCCCGATTCATCACCGCCGACAACAATTTAATACCGGTGTTGCGTAGGCCCAGCACTCAAACTTTGTCAGGCGAGCGGGTGCACTCACCATCTCTCAGCCCATCGCTGGTCACGGCCTGTGTCGTCACAGATGCGCTGTCGAATGAGGCTTGACCCTCTCCCGCCCAGTCTAGCGCCGACATCAGAATATGCAAACTGAGCGGCAGGGCTTTCCAGGTAGAGCGAATTCGCCCATCCATGCCCAGAGCAGAGTCCTGGGCCACATGCAATGCCCGACGCAATAAACGCAGGGAAGGCGGCGGGAGGTCCGAAAAGTCGGTCTCGGAGATCCACTGCGGCACATATTCCTCGGCCGCTTCCACGCCCCGAGATTTCTTCGAGAACGCGGGCTTCCAGTGCTTAGCCGGGGCAGCCAGGCGCTCGCCAGGGTCTACAATCACGTCGGAGTCAGGAGCGCGAATCGACGCCAGTGATATCCGACGCGACAGCGGAGACCAGACGCGTGCTTCACGTTCGAGCGCTCGCATTTGCAAACGGGCACCGCGGGCAGAGACGGAACCGTTCAGCCTGGCCTCCACAGGCTTCCGCCGGGCATTGAGAGCTTCGCGCTGGACCTTGGGCGGCCACTCGGCAAACGAAGGAGGATGTATCAGGCAGACCTCGGCGCCAGAGACGACGACGTGGTCAGACGCAGCAGGATGGGCTTCGAGCGTGCCCCGAGCCAGTCTAGCATCTTGCCCCCATGCCACGCGGGCAATCATGCGGGAAACCTGCAAAAACGCGCGAACACAGCCAGGCTTCTCTCGGAACGACATGTCGCGAACTTCAGCGGCAGCGATCCGCGTCGGGTGCTTGTAATGTTCTAACTGACATGGAGGGGGCGCCCGACCCCGCTGGGCAGCCTCCACTAGACCGCGCAATCGCCGAGCGAAGAGAGGGTCACGGCATGTGATGGGGGCCGGACGAGCAGGGGCAGGACGGGCTGAACGCTAGACGCTGGACGCAACGACTGCTGCACGGTCAGAGACTTGTGCGCTAGAGACCGCGGCCGCCGACCCCGCAGCGGCAGAGGGAATCTGCAGCGGGCGCACCTGCCAGCCCTGCAGCGAAACGAAGATGCGGTCCAGCACGCGGGCCTTGCCAGAGGCAGCCTCGAAACGCGCGGGCTCGCCGCCCCCGATCTCCAGCGCGTCCGCGAAGGCCGACCGCCAAGCGGGGGCACCTGCGCGATGGCGACGACCACCCCGCCGAATGGCAGGGCCAAGAGCGCGCGGGACGAGAGCGCCCATCGTCGTCGACGTTGAAGTCGCCGTTGACGACTTGGACGAGCCCTCGCGCGCCTCCCCCAGCGCGCGCCGAACGGTGGCGCGCGCCAACTGGATCTCCTTTGCCCTCAACTCGTGGCTGCGGAATTGAAGATGTGCAGACGACCGCGCGCCGCCTCGAGGGCAACGCGGGGCGCGCGGCCAGGGGCCAAAGGAACGCGGCGAACCAGAGCAGGGCCGCCAGGGGGGTGGGCAAGAGGAGGAAGAAGAACAGCGACGCCACCGCGAGCACGATCCGCCCGCGCGTTGCCGCAGAAGCAGCAGACCACGGCGGCGCGCGGAGCGACAGAATGCATGCATTCTCCCAGCTCCAGGGCGCCCTGGTGGATCTCCCGAAGCGAGATGATGGTTTTGGATCGGGCGATCTTAGACAGGCACTGTATCTTCAACGACGCTTTCGCCCCAGCGTGCTGCAGGAGAGCCCTGCAGTTCCACGCGGCCACTCGCTGAGCAGTGGCCTCCCCAGAAAGTGAACGTTGACAGCATGAGGGCAGGCGCGCGGCGTCAGAGACACCGCGCGGAAGCCTCGGGGGGCTCGGAAATGGCCGAGGTGGCACGCAGCATCTGCTCCTTCGAGAGCCCATGCTTCCCGAGCTCGGCGGCGCCCCAGTAAAGGACAGGAGGGGCCTCGCCAGCAGTCGCTTCCACTTTGAACACTGTGCCCCAGCCGATGGAGACCGTGCCGCGCTCCCTGTCGGAGAGCAGACGAAGGTGAGGGAATGCCTCTGAGATCGCAGCGCGGCACCGTCGCAAGGAGATCTCGGTCTGGATCTGGCGCGGGGACTTGTCGGGGCCGGTGCGGGCCCCGGTCTGCGCGTCGCTGCCAGGGGCGTCCGCGTGGAATTCTTCCCGGTCACGACCATTCTTGAGGCCCGCGAGGGCCCGCAAGACCTTGCAGCTAGCGGAGGCGACCAGGCCGGTGAAGTGGACGGCGAAGCGCTTGCACGGGAGATCACCCTTCGCGTCGATATCATACTCGTTCTCATCAAACCCAACCTCCAGGAGATATGAAACCAGGCACTTGGACATGACCTCGAGGGAGGTCGGTCGCTGCGCGACCGTAATGAGGAGCGTGCCATCGGGGTGCCTGTCGAAGCCCTGCGGCACCTGCGGGGAAGGCCGGGGTCGCTTCACAGCAACTGCAAGATTTCGCCTGGGCTCCTCAAGCTGTGCACGAAACTGAGAGATATCATGATCACGTGAAGCCAGGCGCCGCTCGCAAGCGACAAGCTTCGCGGAGTGTTCATCGATCTCGGGCTGCAGCCTGCGCGCGAGGGCGTCCACCTGGGGGCGCACGGCGCTCTGAACCTGCTGATCGGTCGACTCGGACTGACCAGAGACCTGGGCCCGCAACGCATCGATAGAGTTGAGAAGGACAGCGTGATTGGCGGCGGCCGTCGTGCCGACAGACTCCGCGACCGAGGCGGTGAGTGCCTACCGCATGCCCGCGAACTCGACGATGCACAATTGGCGAAGGTAGTCGTCACTGGTCCATGCATCATCATCAGCGTGCTCACCATCAACACCAGAGAGAACCTGCGCAGCAGGTTTGCGGGGCGGGGCAAAACCAGCGCCTTTGCCACCATTGCCGCGGCCGACGGGCTCCTGGGACGGAACGGTCGGGGCGAGGTCGACTCTCCAGCAGAGCGGGCGGGATCACTGTCCCCGAAGGACCATCTGCTACGCTGGGAGGCCTGAGCGGAGCGAACACTGGATGTGCAGGGGCCAAACTCCTGCAGTAGAGGCCGAAGATGGATGCCAGGCACAGGTGTCTTGCTCGCCGCGGGCTAGCGGTATCCAGTCCTGCCAATGCGGGGTCAGCCCGCGACAGCATGTGTCTTGAGCCAAAAAGGCTACGGGGAACGAGGAGGAGGAGGAGGAGGAGGAGGAGGAGGAGGAGGAGGAGGAGGAGGAGGAGGAGGAGGGAGGAGGGGTCGCCTAAACCCTTCGGATAAACCCTCCACAGGGGGGTACTGGGGGACGCGTTGGAAGCAGAGAGGGCCACGAGATCCCGGGAGGTATTATGGCCCCCGCCAAGCACCCCCCCGTGGCCCATAGTGATCCCCCCGCCCCCTCCTGGACGCCCCGACTCTTCCTCCCTCCGCGGCCGCCTCGCCTCAATCTCCGTGCGTGCCGTGGCTCACTTCGCCACGGCACGGCCCAACGTGGCTCCGACCGCGGCGAGAGTCCCCTTCAGCTGTGCACAAAGCAACGGCGTGTCGGTGGCCGCGCGTCCGCCTCTCCGCTGTGGAAGGTGGATGACAGATTGACGCGCCGCTGAGGCTCGCAGTGCTCACGATGGGGAGCGCCTGCGGGCTCAAGCGGCACGCGTCCCTGGACGGCCGAATGAATGTGGAAATCGTAGGTCCTTCATCACTCGGATGAACCTGGCGCTGGGCCCCGCCAGGCCAAGCGCTGGACCTCAGGGGCAAGACGTGCCGACGGATCGGACAAGCGCTGCGAGGGGCAAGCGAAGCAGGAGGGGGGAGGTGGGGAAGAGACATGCTTCAGGAATCGCTGAAGTCTTGACGCCGACGGCCTCCACACATAGAAAGAAGGGATGGGCGGAGAAACGGAGGAAGCGAACGGAGAATAGCGAGCAAAAGCAGGAAGACGATGAGCAAGGGCACGAGCAGGAGGAAGATGAGTGTGATGATGCAAAGACGGATGAGGCACATAGAGGAGAGGGTACTCAGCAAGAGCATCATCGTGAAGAGCGGAGGGGGGATGGGGGGACACGAAGAGGAGCGGCATTGGGATCTTGCGAGGAGCGCCGTGAAAGCCTGGAGGAAGAAGAGGCGAACGATAAGAAGGAGCATGGGCAAGTCCGCCCCCGGCCCACGGGAGTGGCGCCGCCATCAGGAAATCCTTGCTCCCGTACAGCAGGACCTCACCCTGCAGCGTCGGCGATAGGGAGTTCATGACGTGGGCTTCCACCTTCGACGGTGGGCCACAAGATGAGGGAAGGGAACGGGGAAGTCATCGGAAAAATGGTGTTCATTCCCGATGTCTCCAGATAGCTTTCAAGCAGACATGTTGTGGGATGGGCATGATGGGGGGGGGATGGCGGGGAGGGCAGGACTCGGGGTCGTCCTTCTGAAAAAGTCGACCGCCTCTCAGATAGTGTGTGGGCGTAGGTTTTCAGGGGCCAGTCTCTGCTTTCCGCTGCAGCTTCGAGCCAATTTGGGCGCAGCGGGCGTTTGCTAACAGAGGCACGCGCATCTTTGAATGTGGCTCAGGGGCGCACAAATAAATACACTCAAATCCCAGGCTTCCCCATTTAGTTTTATAGTTTCTGGGTGTTCGTCTTCCCCCCCACTTCCAGTATTTTCCCACATTTTTCTGGGGATCGAAGATTACTTGTGTCTGTGTGCTTTTTTCCCTCCTGAATCTTGCCAGCACCTTCAGGGCCTGCGGTGGCAGTTTAGGAGCCGTCCAGGGCCCCACGAGGGCCACCGTCCTGCAATCTTCGATCCCCCTCCGTACATGCGCTTTGCCTCCCAGTAGAGTTCCCCCCTGTTACCGAGGTTCGATGGCCGCCCCTGCGTGCATCGCTTCACTCGCCCAAGGGTTGTGGGGGGTTCTGGATCGCTGAGGGGGGTTCTGGAACTGGCCGGCTCGCCCAGGGGGGGGTCAGTCGGAGCGGTCGCCCAGGGATCTCGGCCGTTCATAGAGCGGTCGCGTCGCCCAGGGGGTCTCGGCCGCTCAGTTTCCGTTAGAGTCGCGCCAAGCACGTGCTTGTGGCAAACCAGGTCCCGTAGGAGAAGCCTCCTGCCCCATCAGACGGCTGAGTCCCTGAGCCTGGGCCTCCTTGCTTGCCGCCAGCACCTTCCTCCGGTTCACCGATCGCGACGCGTAGACGTACCTGCGGACCGTGCTCTGTCTGCCTGCCTGCCTGCCTGCCTGCCTGCCTGTCTGTCTGTCTGTCTGTCTGTCTGTCTCTCTTTCTCTGCTGCTCCACGCCAGATGGCGGGACACCACCGAAGCCGATCGAGTCGAAGCTAGAAACAGCTGGATACATGAAGAACCGATCGAGGGGACAGCGAATGTCTGTTCTCTGATGTGTCACCCTCTCTCTCTCTGTCTCTCTGTTGTTATTTTTTTTTCTCTCTCTCTCTCTCTCTCGTTCTCTCTGAATATCTCCTCTTCGGTGTTCGCTCGCTCGCTCTCTCTCTCTCTCTCACTGTCTCTTTCTCTTTCACGCTCTCTCTCTCTCTCTCACACTCTCTCTTCTCGTTACAGCTCGCCCTCCTCTTTCTTCCGGCCCGATCCTCCATTCTGTGCTCCCTCTTGCTGCCTCCTCCATGCCTCCCTCTCCTCTTCCCTCCCCCCCTCCTTTCCTCCCAGAAGGCCAGGCACTTCCGCAGCCGTGTCCTGACGTCTTTGGGCATGCCGTTGTCGGCCATCATATTGTTGAGGGTGTCCATCATCCGCTTGAAGGCGACCTGCGCGGCAGTGGCAGGCTGCACGGTGGGGGAAGCGGGAGGGCAGAGAGGACACAAGCAAGCAGAAGGAGGGAGAGAGACGGGGAAGGAGGTCAGGGAGGCTCCAAGGAGGAGGCAATGGGAAGGAGGGAGCAAGGGAACTGCAGAACTCAGCAGACAGAAGAGATCCAAGTGGCTGGCGTCCTAACAATAGTGTCGGGAGCGGCCAAGAGAGGGGGGTCCAAGAGGGGGGGGTGCAAATCATGACCGGCGGCATGTGCGCGGCCCAGCGGGGGGGCCTGGGACGTAATGAAATAAGAAGAGGCGCCATGAAATCTGAGGAAAAATCATGGCCCCCGCCATGATATCCACCCCCCCCTAGTCATCACCCCCCTCTTTTCCGCCCCCGATAGTGGGGAGACTGCCTAAACATGCCCTTTTCCGAGGTCCGCGCGTTTCTGTTCGGGTCGGCGCTGCGCCCCCGCCGGGGAAAGCTAGGGCTCCCAACTTCGCGCTTCGCGCTGCGCGAAGCGCGAAGCGCGAATAACTTCGCGCTCTCGCGCCGCTCCCCCAAAGGGAGAAAAGGAGGACGAGGAGGAGGGGGAGAAGGAACGAGGACCGCGAAGCGCGAAGCGCGAATAACTTCGCGCCCTCGCGGGAGCCCTTGGGAAAGAGGCCCAGCGCCGATCCAAATCTGAGAAACTCGCGCGGACCACCGAACGTTGTTGGGCTTACGCGCCTGCTGCTTCCTCGACTCTGATGTCTCCAAGCCCCGGGACCCACACGCAAATTGCTCATTGCGGGCGACCCGTGCGACGGGTGAGGTCGGGCGCTCCAGAGCCCTGCGGGTTGAGAGCACCGCGGCGCCGAGGTCTGGCGGCAGTCGCGGGGCCAGGAGGGAGCAGAACTGACACGGTGCAGAGGGGGAAGAGGAATCATGAGGAATTGCAGGGGGAGAGGTCAAGGGTGAGGCGGAGTGCGGCGCGAGTTAAGAAGGGAGCGGTCAGGCAGGATGGACCAATGAAAAAACGGCATGGACATAGTCAAACCGTCGGTGGTCCATGCGGATTTCTTGGACCGGCGCTTGACCCCATCCTGCCTGGCGCGCCAGGCACGCAAGGGGCGGCGCTGGAGGCGCCGCCAGGGTATTCCAGCACCAATCCAGTAAATGCGCGCGGGCCACCGACAGTTCAGGTTATTCGGCGGTAGACAAACCTCCATTTAATAAACCACCCTTTAGTGACAACGGCCTAGGGCCGAAACCGACGGACCTGGACCCGCAAAAACGACGGCCGCGACGCCCTCTCGTGAACCGGAAACGGCCAATTTGCTAATCGACGTGCCAGGGTAGGAGATCGATCAGCTTCCGAGTTCTTGATGCCGATGCTTTACTTGTCGATGCAGCCATCGTGCTAACATGGGAGCGCTGCGGAAGGAAAGATGAAGGGCTGCTCCGGCCACGGGGCGCCTCTCGACCACGAGCAGGTCCCCCGACCTGGACTCAAGGAAAGAAGTACAGTGGAGGCCAGTCCACGATAAACCTTCCACAAGAAACCCATTCTGAGATCCCAGGACGTCCATTGACTTTTGGCGTGGGAGCGTCACGCTTCCCACAGAGAAGCCATCGAAACCCAAGGAACCCAGAGAGCACCCTGGAGACATGCAGGTTGCCTCTTGGCATAAGCCCCCACTGCACCCCAAAACAAGGTCGCCCCCCTGAGCCCACAGTGGTCTGGACTGTTCCGCGTCTTGACTTTAGAGAAAGAGCAGGTGTCTGTGCGATACGGGGATGTACCCGTAGTCGCCGCATGGGGGATCGATCTTCGGGGACCTCGACAGGCAATGGATATTCCCGAATAGATCCGACTATACATATATATATATATATACACACACATATAGATTCGGATCTACCGCCTACCGAGGTGCCCAAAGATCGATCCCCCAGGTGGTCGTGATGGGTGAATCCCTGCCTCGGAACAGCTGGGAGAGCATTTGGGGCCGGCCGAGATGGAGCAGGCTTTACGTTCAGGTCGGGCATGTCCCCAAACAGGCGAATTTGGAACGAAAAGTCAAACATACTCAAATCATAAGTTTTAATCAACGAAACAGAATCGAAACATCGTCCCCTGACTTTTCTCTCATTCTTATAAAAGCTCCTCGTGTAGAGGGACATGCCCGACTTAGCTTCAAGGGCCTCGTGCGGGTGCAAATTGCCCACGATGCCGCAGACGGCTCCGATGGTGTAGGCCCAGATTCCGGCCATGAAGAGCATGCACCTCGGCTTCGAGCGGGCCGTGGCACGCCCCCCACGGCGAACCGCAACCTGTTTTTGCCCCTCGCCCTTCCACTCAGCATCATGCTCTCTTTCTCTCTCTCTCTCTCTCGCCCTTCATTCTCTGTGTGTCTCTCCCTCTCTCTATCTCAGTCTCTTTCTCTCCCCTGCTCTCTCTCTCTCTCTCTCTCTCCCTCTCTCTATTCCTCCGTCAGCTGTTGACCCAAGCCGCCCCCCCCCTCCCCTGGTCCGCCAATGCGGCCGCCTTCCGTTTCCGAAGTGCGGGGGCCGAGCACCTGTGCATCTGCCATGCTATTCTGCCCCTTCCCCCTATGACGAAGGCGGGGTGAAAATGCATCCGAAAGGGAATACATCGGGGATCTCAATCTCAGCAACGTGGCAAACTAATATCAGGCGCCGTGGCCGTTCCAGAACGCTCCGGAAGGCTCTGAGAACGTTCCGGTCGGAACGCTCTTGAACGACTCATCCTCGTCCCAGGCAGACCTGACCCCCCGCCGACCCCCACCAACACTCGAAGGGGAGCCGGAGGAGAGTGGGCCGCGGACACTGGATGAAATCCTGTAGCTCGTCTTCACCCGGTCCGAGCCTTGTGGCCCTCCATATCGTCATGATCCTTTTCCGTCCATCCTCTCTGCCTCTCTCTGTCTCCCTCTGGACGCGTTTGGTAATAAAAGACTCACATCATGCCTTCTTCATGCCGTGCGTGAATCTCACCCTCCATCCAATCAGTATGGCAGATAGCACAGACTGTTGTTACGTGGTTCGATTACGTGCGTAATCTAGCATAGCAAAGAGTATGGCCGCCATCCAGAGATCTTTGGCACAACAGCGACCGCGAATACGTTGGCAAGTCTGAGGTGTGCGCAGTGTGGCGACCACGTACTCCAGATGAGTCGTCGCAACGATATCTCCGTAGCCTTAGGATGAAAGGAGCCATCAACTCGGCAAAATCAGAAAATCCAAATGCGAGTAATTTTACATGGCAGGCTGTACCTATCTGAAACCGAACCTGATGTGGGCCAGGCTGCCTCAATACCCCACGAAGAGGTAGCATGAGGGGATGATGATGATGATGAGGAGAAGAAGAAGAAGAAGGAGAAGGAGGAGGGGGAAGAGGAGAAGCAGGAGAAGGGACAGAGACAAGAGACAGGAGACTTGGAGGCGGCCAGGGGGCCTGAACCGGTTGGGGCCCAAGAAAGCCGGTCAAGAGGGGAGATGAACCCCAACCCAAGCCAACCCCCGAAGACCCGACTTTCGCCCGCATTTCGCCCGGATGTCGGGGATCGGGTTGCATACGTGCTTTTTCAATGTTCCCCGACCCCCTCCCCACTAGAAATGGACGGCAAATCGGGGCCTTCGGGTTGGGTTGGGGTGGTTTGGTGGGTGGTGTTGGTTGGGGCCCAAGCAAATCGGTCAGGAGGGGAGATGAGGCCAAATCCACCCAACATCGGTCCCCGGACCCGTCCTGGGGTCCATCCAATGCAGTTTCCACCCCGGATTAGTTCTTGACGGCTCCAGGGTCCGAAAGCGGCCCCGGAGGACGAGAAAGCAACAACCCTCCCCGAACCCAGAACCTCGAGCCTCGCACGCCCCTTCTGCAGGCCAGAGCCAGTGCTTGGCCACATCAGACACCCGATCGGCTCCACAGGGTTCTCGGAACGCTACAGGTGACGTAGCCGACCCCCTAACCCTTCCCACGTCACTCCTCGGAGGTGGGTCCCGCGACGGGCCTCGATCCGACGGACGCTGGAGAGAGCTGCCTCTGTGAGATCCCAGAGCCTCCCCAAAGGACGAGCTCTTCACCCTGAGTCGCTTTCTGACAGCCCGAGGGCCCGTGGAGGGCCCCGAGGGCCTTAGGACCCGTTTCCGTCAGGACCGGCCTCCCCTATGGCGATTCCTGAGACTGAGAAAAAGAGAGAAAGAGAGAGAGACAGACAGAGAGAGGGACAGAGAGAGAGAGAAAGGGAGATATATATAGAGAGAGAGAGAGAGAAACAACAACAACAACAACAACAACAACAACAACAACAACAACAACAACAACAACAACAATCATTTTACCCGAACGCTCAGTGTTCTCACCAGTGCCAGGGTTTTCATGCGACGCGAGACAATACCCCCACTTCGTGGGGGGGCAGTTCAAGCTCTACCAAATATCCAAACGACTCTTCGCGACCACCCAAACCCAGCTTCCCGCCCTATGACGTTGGGACACTTCACTTCGTGGCGTGCGGACGACCGTGGCTACTACACTGGCGTGGGGTACACACCCACAGAACTTGGTCACTTATTCGGGGCGCGCGTGTGCCCAGCATCCTGCAATTGTGACATACAATACATGACACAGACAGACAGAGAGAGAGACAGAGAGCAGACAGAGAGAGAGACAGAGAGAGCGGAGTTGGTCACATTTTTGGGGCAAGTTCCTGAGATCGTCGTGTTTTTTGTTGGTCTTGCGCGCGCGAATGTCCACTTTACTTTTTTTTGCAAGGGAGTATTGAAATTTGATTATGTTAGAACAAGAAAAAGTAGCTCGCGCGAGCTCATGTAACATAAATGTTGAAAAACCATTGGTTTTGTGGGAGTCGGACAGCGCGCGCGGGATGAAATTTGGACATTTTTTTTTGAAAAACCATTGGGTTTTTGATGTTTTTATGTTGAAATCGTTACGAAACCTAAGGTTCTGGAAGGATTTCGTCTTGCGCGCGCGAATGTCCACTTTACCTTATTTTTTGCAAGGGATTATTGAAATTTGATTATGTTAGAACAAGAAAAAGTAGCTCGCGCGAGCTCATGTAACATAAATGTTGAAAAACCATTGGTTTTGTGGGATTCGGACAGCGCGCGCGGAAGGACATTTTGACAATTTTTTCTTAAAAAACCATTGGGTTTTTGATGTTTTTATGTTAAAATCGTACGAAACCTAAGGTTTTGGAAGGATTTCGTCTTGCGCGCACGAATGTCCACTTTACCTTATTTTTTGCAAGGGATTCTTGCAATTTGATCAAGTAAGAACAAGAATTTTCATTTTATAGTGTTTTTTGCAAGGGAAAACGGATTACAACAAAACAACCGGATCCGGACACAATCCACTTTTCTGAAGCTTTCGCTAGAAAATGAAGGAAATGAGGCTGCGGCCTAGGTTTTGGAGGGGGGTCGCGCACCAGGGGTCTCAACAATAATATTTCTTTAGAAGTAATAATATTCAACAACAACAACAACAACAACAACAGCATTACAAACAACAGCAACAACAACAACAACAAACACAACAACAACAACAATAACAACAACAACAACAACAACAACAACAACAGCAACAGCAACACCAACAACAACAACAATAGCAGCAACAACAACAACACCATCAACAGCAACAATAACGACAACAACAACATCAACACCAACAACAACAACAACACCAACACCAACAACAACAACACCAACACCAACAACAACACCAACAACATTACAAACAACAGCAACAACAGTTACAACAACAACAACAGCAACAACAACAACAACAACAACAAAAAAAAACAGAGAGCCAGCCCGCCATGCGCTGAGAGGACGGTGCGGGGCGCGAGGGGCGCGTTCGAGCGCGGCCACGACGGAGAGTGCCGCCCCTCGGCTCTGGCCGTCGGTCGGCGCACGCACGTGCGCAGAGAGTGACAGAGAGAGAGAGAGAGAGGTTACGTGCTGTCACGCATGCACTAAAACAGAGGAAGGGAGAGAGAGGAGGAGACGAGGACGGGAGAAAGACAATGATGATGGCTTTGGCCTGGCGGCCACGAGCCAGGCTCCCTGGCGCGTGCCACAGCGTAGTGGAGTGCGCGCGCGCATCCCACTCTCCCCAACGTGGGTCTCTGTGTGGGGAGGGATGCTTTTGTGCGCGCTACGTGATGCCCGTGCGTCTGGCACTCCGCCATACGCCCCGACCCTCAGTCGCTCGCTGCGTGACGACTGTCAGGGCCAGGGGTGTTGCTAGAGGTGCTCATGGCCCAAGGTGCCCCCAGGACTTCCAAGATGTTCCTCACGGCCTCCAGGGCACCCCTCACGAGGACCAGGGGACCCATGGGCTTCAAAACTGAGCGACACTCTGGGGGCAGCGTGGACCAGGGGCACCTTTAGCAACCCCCGAAAAGAGGAGGAGACGGAGGGAGAGAGATAGAGAGAGAGAGAGAGAGAGAACGAGAGAGAGAGAGAGAGCGGAAACAACAACACAACCATATGTTTTCCATTGAGCGCGCGCGCACCGCCGCTAGCGCCAGTTACGCTCGCGCATAGGGCCGCCGCCAGGCGGTGGCGCAGCAAGCTCCTGCACACCAGCAACCGCATCGGGCCTGTCGCGTGTCAGCGAAAACAACAGGAAGCAAAACACGAAACATAGAGAGGTGCGCCCGCGTATCCAGAAGTCAAGCCCAAGGCGGGTGGCCCAGAATTGTTCACCACAGAGAGGAAGAGAGGGAGAAAGAGAGACGGAGAGACTGGGAAAGCCTGCATGTGAGCCAGGGGGGACTTCCACGGCCCTATCATGAATGTGATTTCGCTCAGATGCCGTCCAAATGTCGGCGAAATCCGACGAAATCCGGACGAACTCGCCTAACAAAAAAACGCAAAATGTTCCACCCCCTCTGAAGCTCCCATGAAGGACCACACAAGAAAGAAAGAGAGAGAAAGAACGCCATCCAAACAACGGGTCCATCGAATCGAAAATCGAAATACAATCGGATCGAGCCTGGTGAGATTGGTACCGAATGGAATCGATGGGGCCCACCCGCGTGCCCCGGGGCTGCCGACCCAAACCACCGACCTCCCGTCCCACGCGAACGGGAAGGGCCTACGCTGACCCCCACGGCCAGGCGTCTGGAATCGCGCCAATGCCCCTCCCCCATGGGCCCCCAGATCTTTCCGACTCGGTGTCGGACTCCAGGGCTGCCAGGGCTCGGTGTCGGACCCCAGGGCCATCAAAGACGGATCCGCGACAAAAAACTCCCCTCTGGGAGTGGGCTGGGACCCCTTGGGCCGCGCATTGAGCAACAAAAACACATCGTCGGGTGTCTCGGCTTGGGGGCGGCCGTGGACCATGGGACAAAGGCAGGATGAGAACACATCCAAATGATGATACATCGGCTAGTGTTACCAGGCAGCTGCTGGGAGGTCTTTCCCCAAGAGGTGGAACCTCAACCAAACCAGGAATCTCTGAGAGCCGGCGGGCTAGGAGAATGCATCAGGCACCGCAACCAATCCAGAGCCGAAACGCCCTGAGAACGCTCAAGACCACTCTTCTGGGGCGATTTGGCCTTGTCTGGGGTCTGCCCGAGACATGGATGCGCAGCCGCGACTCGAAGGACTCGAGTCTGGTGAGGGGCTCGGCAACAGTGCGACTGCTCCCTTGTAGCGACCCAGAATGGTTGACACGAAGCCCTTCCATACCTGGAGTTATGTTGTTCCCATCGTACTTAAGGATCACATCCCAGAAATCCGCCGATCCGGCGTGTGAGTTCGAAAAAGTCTCAGCTACAGCCTACAGCCTAGAGCCTGAGCGGGGCCGGGGTGGCTCTGCCGGGGAAGGGGGGGAGGGTGCAATTCACAGCCCAGAGCCTGCCTGACCAGAGCCTTTTTACGACAGATGGCCTCTCGAGGCCGAGTGTGAGCTAACATGTACACTCAGGCTCCACAGGAGCCCCCGTTATGTAAGTCTGCGTTGCACGGCGTATCGTGTTTCCTATTCTCTGCTTGTAGCCTAGCCATGCTTAATGGTCTCCCCAAGGGCCCCTGAAGAGCCCCAAGCCCAAGCGGCTCATTATAAGCTTTTCACACGTTTCCAAGATGTTTCTGCCGAAACCGTCTTGGCTCAAGCCTTGCAGCGACACAGGTCGCTGGACTTCTGGTGTGTGCCTCCGAGGAGCAAGATTGCGAGCTGGCCCACAAAAATAAACAGTTCCCTTCTATCACCATCGTGCGAGCAGCCTCGCACTTCCCACTGCCCGTATTTCACCGACATCATCGACGAGAGTCCACATCGACAGGAGAGCAGAGAAGAGCAATATCCAAGGATTCAGCGGAGGGCAGTGGTTCTAGCGGGACCATTGCATGGTAGCGGGGCAGTAAGCTCCACGGACGACGGATTCACGGACCACAGTGTACTACGGAGCCATGGCGAAAGCTAACCATGGCGACGACATCGTACCCAAATGGAATGGAGACCTCACCACGGTAGACGACTGCGAGAGAGACGTCAAGGCCTATATCAGAGGGACCCGTCGTGAAAGATATGTGTGCGGACCCAGATTATGGCGACGACTTCATGGAAGAGCTAGACAGGCCGCCAAGGACGTGGACTGGGACCGCATTGAGAGAGACGGCGGTGCCACGGACTTGCTAAGACACGTTCGTGCTAAACTCGGTGCTCAGCCCATCCAGGACGCCTGCAAGTACCTGGCCAGATGGATCTTCGACCTTCGACGCGACACCAGGGAGCCGATGCCAAGCTTCACTAGCAGAGACGATGAAGCCATCACGACGTGGTCAAGGGTTTTGACACCGAATATTTCAAGAATCAGAGACATCAGCGGCCCTCCCAGAGGGCCAAAAACTGGAACTCACTCTACACAGATCTGAACTGGTTCCTCTACAAGATCAAGCTCGAAGGCCCCGAGGATGCAGCCGAGAAGGCCAGGGAGCTGAACTACAAGCTCTGGGAGTTTGTCAAGACTGGTCTTGAGGAGATCCCAGAGCATCCTGATTTCGGAACCGATATCAATCAGGCGATCCATCTGGACCAGCTGCGAGGATGGTTGCTACTGCAAAGATCCCGACTGTCCCCGACGGAGCGAGCAGCGGTGATCAGCGCGGTGAAAGGAAGGCAACTTCGACTACGACAGCATCCGAGAGCAGCTGCGAGCATCCTGGCCAGATTTGAGCTGACGAATCGCGACAAGAAGCAGGGCAAGGATCACCGTCACCGAGAGCGTGGCAGGATCCATGCCGGCTGGGACCAGGACGAAGACGATGACGAGATCGAAGACGGCTACGGATACTACGACGAGTCGGAAGCCTCCTACGACACCCAGCCTGAGGAGGACACCGAGGATCCCGAGGAGCCCCTCTACAGCGCCCAGGAGATCGAAGAGGCGGAGACTGCCTTCGCCGCGCAGCAGAGAAGCTTCGAGGAGGCTCGGGACCTCATACGACGAGTGAAGACAGCACGAATTTCTACCCAGTGGATGAGGAAAAGAAGCGCACGCCACATGACAAGAAGTCTCACGGACCTCGGACAGCATCAAGAAGCTCGGGGTCTTCCAAAGGAAGGGGACGAGGTGACGGACAGTGACGTGATCGGCCAAGCTCGAGAAACAGTGACCGTCCCCCCCCGTCCAACCAGGAAGGGCCCATGTCTGAAATGTGGTGCCAATCATGAGACGAAGGACCATAAGGACCGAGCTTCATCAAATGGCAGTCGCGGAGATCGAGACCGTTCGAAGAAGGGTTTCAGCAACTTCATCTTCTTCGGCACCTACCCAGACGCGGAGATGCAGCCCGACGAGCCGACCCACGAGCAGGAGCTGGTGCCTCGTCAGGTGACCGCGCCCATCTGGGCGACCTCGGAGTGGGCGAGGAGTGGATGTTGATGAGTGTGAAGCAGTCCGCCTCCAAGGGTTTCGGCATCCTGGACATCAGCGCCACCTCCAGCATCATGGGCATTGAGGCTGCCGAGAAGCTACGGGACATTATCTACGAACAGACGGGCAACAACATTATCAAGATGAACGCCAGCCAGAAGTCGACCTCCATCTTTGGCGAGGGTAACTCCAAGACCTGCACCGGCCGTGCGACTTTTCCCCCTGAAGATTGCCAGTGTGGAGGGCGAGCTCGAGATCAATCTATTCGACGCGGATGCACCACTACGCATTGGAGTTGATGTCTTGAGCCGCCTGGGAGCTGTGATCGATTGCGAGGCACACACTGCTTTCTTTAAGAAGCTCGGACGCCGAGCCAAGCTACTCGCACTTCCGAGCGGACACCTTGCGCTGCCCCTTGTATCGCAAGCCGATTTTGGCTTCGTGGCCACCCTGAGCTAGGGGTGCGCGCCCTCGACACCCGAGACTGCTACGGTGCCGGCGGGAAAAGGTGATAACGAGCAGCCGATCGATTGCGAACTCCCAGATGCCCCTGCAGATGACTCCCAGAAACTTTCTGATGAGGCCCCTACCAGAGAAGCCCCGCAGGGCCCAAGGACATCATCATTACCTACTGCAACGGGGACATCATTATTACCTACTGCAACGGGGACATCATTACCTACCGCAGCGGGGACATCATCATTACTCACAGCCAAGGGTACATTATCACCACCTACGCCTATTCCTACGTCAGAGGCATACCTAACACGTACTCCGACTTCATCCCATATGAAATCATCTGGTCATACCCCTGAGGTCCTCCCCGAGATCCCCACGTTCCCTGTGCTCCAGGGCCCTGCACCATCATCATCCATAGCCAATTTTGGCGCGAACGATTCCAGCGAGGAGCCCAATCCTCAGCGGCTTCCATATCTTCCATATTCGCATGAGCCTCAACCGCGAGGCGAAATGCCGCAAAGCAGAGAGCCAGCACGTCAAGATGGAGAACGAAGAGATGGAGCAGTGGGCGTGGGAGAAGCTACCACCAGCGGGCTCGAAGAAGGACAAGGACATGAAGCAGCTGACGGAGACCTTCCTACTGGAGCACCTGCCTCTCTGGGAGATGTGGGTATGCAAGAAGCTGCTATCATGGACTACGTACCGCCGCTGGACACGACTAGTGCTGAGGACGTTCCTGAGGACAGTCCATCACGAGAAGTGGAAGCTGGACAGCCACGGCCTACCGGTGCAGCTGCTGTCCACCAAGTTCCCGACCTGGCCAGCGGAGCTTGGACATCACGAGAAGCTCGAGATGCGCCGCCCGTGCCGAGAGTCAAAGAAGTCATCAGCCTCAGCAGCGGAGATCCAGCAGAACAGAGCGCTGCGCGACACCATCGAGAGCGCAAAGTCCGATTTCTTGACCCAGTATGCGGAGGTGTCTTTGCGACGCTCAGCTCGGAACAGATCCACGAGCAGCTCAGCATGGTCACGGTGCTCAACCACCTGCGGCCCCTGTGCAAGAGCTGGGGACTGGTCCAGGCGGGGAAGCAGGAGGTGCGCGGGACGGCAGCCCCAACGACCAAGATCAAGAAGGAGGTGGAGATCAAGAAGATGGAGACGGCCCCCACCATCGTGGGGCCAACCATCGCCGCCCACTACACTCAGGACTGTCAGCATCCGCGCTGCCAGCTGAAGAGGGGTATTGCGAAGAACGAGCCGATTGTGAAGATGAAGCCGTATGGATAGTGCCACAAGACATGTGCGACCACGAAAGCCTGATCGACATCCGGGACGAGCGAGCACGCTGGTTTAGTGCCGAGAGCCGCCCTCTCAAGGGCCATCAGCGTCAGGCCATTCGGGCGGCCACCCACTCGACCAGGTCGGCTCTGTTCGGAGCCATGTGCTCTTTGGCAGCCTTCGGCCACTTGACGAGAGGCCTGCACTCGCGAGGACTCGAACCTGGGTCAGGTGTGCGACGAGAAAGGCTACCACTACGAGCGGCTCGGCCTGTTCAACGACTACGAGTCGAAAACAAGCTGGTAAGCTTAGGTATACAGTCCGCCTTAGGCGCTTCCATATCCCAGGCTTAGGCTCATAGCGCATGAGCAAGAGAGCGAGACGAAGCATGGGATCTGGAGTAAAGAGTAAGATGGGCATCGTCAATGGAAAGGATGTTTTCCGATCTCAGATGCAAGTAGTGCGCCTCGGTGAGGCACAGTCACATATTTGGCCGGGCCCGGCTTGAGCCAGGCACGGCAGCGGTACATGCTCGATTTATACCTCGCCTTTAACCTTCTCCGTTTAAAGTCGGAGGGGGAGGAGACGAGCAGGTACCGCACTTCTATTATGCGGAAAAACAGTGCTAAGCAGCAGCGGCTGCCTACAAGGAAAGGGCGCGCGAGTAGCCTCGCTACCGGCGAGTTTCCTCGCTGCTAAAGCGCACCTGCCCGCGGGTTTCCCCGCTGGCTCGGGAGGCAGGGCCGTCCTGAGACGACCTGCCCGCCCTATACGGCGTATGTTTCTTCAGCTCGTGCTTGAAGGATTGCTGGCCGGCCATTACTTGTAGGAGCAACGCGCGGTCAATGCTACCTTTGGTATGACCATCGGCAGTCATATCCCGCGTGTCACACCATTGGACGCTTTCCACGATTCCACGTTCCATCATCTGGCGAATCCAGCTGATGTGCCCAAGCAGAGTACACTCTGTGGGCTTCTTCAGATCCTTGCTAGACAAAGATTTGAAGACAGACTCGGCATCAATAGTCAGAGTGACTTTGATACATAGACCACCCATTTCCAATATGTTCTTCAACTGTGTGGGGGTCAATGGTCCCGAGTGTAGCTCGTGGAGCGTTACAATGGTCGGGTAGCAGTCTTCCAAGTTGTGGGCTGCTGCCAGTGTTTCCGCAGAGTAGCTCGAACGCACTTGCAGTCGATGAGACTTGCAGTATGCGTCCACCAGGTGCACGACGGGTTTCCCCGCTTGCGTGTGGCCACGCCTCAGCAGGTTAGCCCCGCGGATACCATAGCCTTTGACTTCGTCGTCTTCATCTCCGTTGAGACGACGATAGCCAGAATCGCTATGCAGGTCGACTTCTCCTGTTGGAGTCATAGCATGATACACGATCTTCTTCGGGCCTGCCTGCAATTTTCTGGTAACCGCGTTTAGTCGTCGTACCTGGATGTTTGTCGGTTCTTGGATACGTTGTAGTGAGACAACATAGACCATTAGCCATACCTGCGTGATCAACGCATAGGCTAGAGCGCCACGAAGACTGACGAACATATCAGAAATCGTCTTCGTCGCCTTGCTTTCAGGATCAGCTCCTGTGAGTTCTGGATGTGTGATAGGACGAAGCTGTTTGATGTATTCGTCCTGGTCGAGAGTGACGCTCCCATCATCGGTCTTGTTGTACCGGACAGCACAGTTCGTGTATGTGTGCTTGTTCAGTTTGCACTTCCCAAACGTATCTTCAACACACTTGACATACTTGTCGATAGCCTCTTCCTTCCCAGTCATATTGATGTCATCAACGTGCTTGGCTGTCAAGAGGTTTGGGCTCATCTCGAATTCTTCGTCGTATGAAGTAGGCTGTAGCCCAAAGCTCCTAGTGATGGACCTGAGCTTCAGCGAGAATGCCCTGGGAGCATCCTTCGTGCCTGTCCCCGGTTTCAGACACCGGAGACAATGCTTTGATTCGTCATATGACTCAAAGCCTGGCAGTGTGCGAAGGACAGCTGCAGATCCAGGTGGTAGTGTGAAACACACCACACGTTCTTTCTCGCCCGTTGCCGCGGCGAGCTCGCCATAGGTCAGTCCCTTCAAGAAAGCCATGTTGATGTCCAGGGAAGCGATGATCCAAGCTTTGTTGCATGCAGCAGAACTTGCGAGCAGTCTCTGGCTTGACCTCCTTGCCGTGCCAGAGAAGGTTTCGACATCAAAGGCTTCGAGGTCCATGAAGCCACGGAGTACCAAGCGTAACCGGATCGTCCTTTCCATTTCGCCCTTTTCGTTCTTGACAAACTTCCATTTGTATACGTAGCGTGACGTCATGATGTTAGACGCCTTGCTTAAGTCAGTCATCTGGAAGCATTTGTTGTCAAGCCAAGTCTTCAGCTCTGTGTAGAGGGCTTTGGAAACTTTGACCGGATTTGCTTGGATGTCGGCCTTCGTGAGTAGATCGTCTTCCTTGACGACCACGGCACGTTTGGAGGCAGCGCTAACGTATACTCGCATAGTTGTGACGCTGCTGTCATCCAACAGTCGGTGTTGCTGCTCGGACAGGACGACTTTGGACATGTCTGCTGTGAAGCAGAGCTCGATATACTTCCCGTGCTCATCGGAGTCCAGATCATATTTGCTATCCGGTTCCGTGGAGCATAAAGGAACGTAGTAAGAAGTGTCCATGTCGTATCCTGGCGGGTGACCCCGCTCCGGCAAGTGGCCTTGCACATCTTCACAGGTCGTAGAGACTAATACACACTGTGTGTCTGTCATGTATGTAGGAACTGTATGCATGACTTCCTCTGTGTCAGCTTCAAGGAGTGTTCTGTCATCCATCAGTTCAGCATACCACGACTTCAAGACAAAAGCATCCAGATCCTCTTCTGTCTCCTCTATGATGGTCGGGAGCCGACCATCGTTGTCCGTAGGAGGCTCCTCAGGAGCAGCTGCTGGAGGTGATTCGCTTGGTGGTGGACCATCAGCGAGTTCCTCAAACTTAGTGAGATCTTGGTCAAACCCAGCAGACGGCTTCCTGGATTTAAGACACTGGATGATGCGTGAGTGTGTAGATCCTGTGATGTCACAGATGTTCAAGGCAGTGCCATCAGCTTCATAGTAATGAAACCCAGGGGTCACATCGTTATCATAGTGCACTAGTGTACAGCTGTCTGCATAGGGTGCGGCAGGCAGCTTCGTCAAACTCTTGGCGAGTCGTACAGCAACAACGCTTTCAATACGAAAGTAGTTGCGTATGAGGTACTGAAGAGCCAAGTGCACCTTAGGTGGAAGTCGGCTCGCAGCAGTCATCTGCAGCCGACCCTGTTTCGTTGGTAGATATCCGAAAGTCATGGCGGGTTTCCCCGCTGGCAGACCGGCAATAAAGGCCAATACTGTTCGAAGGGCCGTATTGTCCGATCCTATCTCGCGGACCATAAGTGCTTCGATGTACAGTGTGTGTCGTGTGTCAGGATACTGTACTCGTACTTCGCGATTGCCGACCTTCACGATGACCTGGCCTCGGTCAGGTTCGTTGCGGATGACCGGGTATGGACCACTCCATCCACCCCAGTCGTCTTTCGTGGTGGTCGGACGGTGATAGTCCACGAGATCTCCTTCTTTATAGTGAAATTCACCCGTAGCAGTAGTCTTTGTACGGAGAGCCCTGTTCGTCTTGGCAACCGCAGTGGCCTGCGTGATTGCCTCCAGACTAACCCTCCTGATTGTTTCCTCCCTTGAGTGATCTGATGATTCAGTGGGCTGATCATGATCCAAGACAGGGAAATCAGGAAGCATAGCTGGCTGTCTACCATACAGCGCATTGTACGGAGACACTTCATTGTAGAAGGTAAATGCGTTGCTGGCAAACAAGGCTTCATGTAAGAGACGAGTGAAATTGAGAGGGATATGTAATCTATTCAATTCTTCTCCCATCACGTGTAGGAGGTGTCGAAGGATGCCGTTCCTAGCTTCGATAGTTGTAGCGTGTTGGCCACGCGCTCGAATACGAAGCTCTGTTCCCTTAGCCTTAAGGATGGCCTTTGCTGTATCATTATTCAGTGCTCCTTCCCCATCGGAGTATAGAATTTTAGCAGGGCCATGCTGCATCCAAGTCGTATGATAGGCATCGAGAACAGTATGCATAGCTTTATCAGGAATCTCTGTGCCAGCTGCCCAGCGAATACAACGGTCGATGATGTGAAAAACAATATGTTCCTGTTTATAAAAGAAGAGATCACATTCGACTTCTTCGTTGAAACGTCCTGGCAGTGACACGGAAGGCATCACCGTGTTGCCTGGTTTGTCCCAGGCTCGACATTCTCTACACGAGTCGCAAATGCCTTTGATCAGACTCAAACGGGTTTCACCCAGACCAACCTTGGTTAGAATCATCCGCATTTTTGGCTCCTTGGCATGAAACCATCTCAGGTGGAGTTTGCGGAGTTCTCGCTGCACTACAGCTGGGTCGAAGCTGCGCAGGTTTTGGAGGCTGAGCTGAACGTCGAAGCGAGTCCAATCAGGGAGCCTTGGCCTTGGCCTCGGCTCTGCTTGAGGCTGCGGCGGTGGTGGAGGATCTCCTCCCTCCATGCGTCCGCGCCTTGCTGCAACTTGTGGCAGTCTACGGTGATCGTCAGAGCTGCCAGCGCCACTGTTGCCACCATTAGCCCCGTCGGCTCTGGTGATGTCATGGCTGCTGGCGCCTGCGGTTGGATCGCCCTCACCAGGCCGTGGCGGCCTAGGCGCACGTATGCGCGCTCTCGCGGCCGGCGCCGCTTTTGCGGCTGGCGCCGCTTCTGCGGCTGGAGCCGCTTCCGCGGCTGGCGCCGCAGGAGCGGCTTGTCCCGCCGGACGCGGCTGGCCAAAGTTATCTGGCAGTTTCCATTTTTCGGCAAATCTGCATTGGCCAGATATCTTGGTGTGGTGAGGATTGCTCTTCTGATATTCCTTCTTACAGCTTGGACAGTCCCAGTAATACGGTTCAACATCATACCACCGACACATCTTCGGATCCCTACTGTGCTTT